GTCATTTTTAAAAATTTGCAAACACTTAATATAAATAATATATATATATTAAGTGTTTGCAAATTTTTAAAAATGACTTAACTATATGTGGGGAATGAGGCAGAAATATGGGTAATAGGAATGTCTAAACTGGTAAATCAAGAAATAGCTAGCATATTGTTTAAAAATAAAAAGTAATCACCACAAAACAGAAGAATGGTTGCCCTGGTGAGTGGGAAAGGACTGCTTTTTGGTAATTTTTAGTATTGGATATTTTTTTAAGTGACATGCATATGACATGTTTATAGGTCAGAACATTTCAGTTCTTCACAAAGGAAAAATTACCGATGTAGGTAAAAGTGTAAACAGTTTTCTACAACTAATGATGCTAAAGTCTGTCTGATAGAAGAAAATTCATTGCTTTTAGGCAAATTACAGTTTTAAACACTAAATTTAAAAGTTAAAAATTATTTAAAAAAATGACAGATGCTGTATCTCCACAGTTAAAAGCCAAATGCTAATCATTAAGGAGTAAGGAGGTGAAGGGTGGCAGAATATGCCACCCCAACATATGCCACCTTGGCTTATTTGAGCTAAAGGCACTGAAAATAAAAAAACAGCAGGTGAAACAGGAGCACTCGGACTCTCCTCTTTTTGTTCCTGAAAACAGGAGATAAACCCCACAGGGAAGATGCCCTCCTGCACCAGAAGTAACATTAGCACCAAGGACAGGATGTTGACCCTCAGAGAATTCTACACAAACCTGATTAAAAGAATTCTTACCTTCCTTTAGCCTCCTGTTTACTTTCCCACAATTGCCTCTCTTTGTTCAACCTAGTATAAAAAAGCCTTTAGGTTCTGCTACTTCTTTGGGTCTTCATATCCTCATGAGGGATCCAGTTTCACGTAAAACTTAAACTTTCATGATTTTTTCCTGTTAATCTGTTTTATGTCAATTTAATTCTCAGGCCCAGCCAAAAACCCTAAGAGGGCAGAAGTAAACTTATGCTTCCCCTGCAGTAGCAAACTCTAGTCACATTTGTTCTGTTAATGCATAGCAAACAATCTTAGTTGCTTACATAAAAATTTTTGATTATATAAAAAGTAGAAGTTTGGTATGCAACACAGAATGATACTTAATATGCAGTGTGTTGCTCATGGATGGAAGTTCTTATTTTTTAGTTTATTCTTCAGATTAAACTTCCATCTTCCTGTGCAATTTATACAAAATGCTCACAGGAATTATGGGAAGACAATGCTCTGTGGTCCATCACTTGGGAAACAATCGAAACACCTCCCGTTACTGTGCACTGTGACTCCCCAGGAGGCGCCTCCCATGACCCAGGTGGTGAGGTGCTTTAATATTTGTTAAATTAAAAAAGAAAGAAAATAATTCTAATAGTAAGAATCCACTATAGAGAGGACTGGGAGGCAGCTATTGGTTTGGGGCAATCTAGAAATCTGAAAATCTCAAACTTCCCGAATGCCTTAAAATCTTTCCCAGGACTAGTAATATATTTTAAGGTCTCCTGGCTATTTGGTAGCATCTGTCAGGTACACTAAAGGTTTTAACTGGCTTTTCTAAAAGACAAATTCATTTCATTAAAACCACATTTGACACAACTTTTCAAAAAAAGAAACATTGGGTGCAAAAAAGGCTTTCTGAATGTTAATTTATTTTTGTTTTTTTCAAGTCAAGGCTGTATGAACTACCCATTATTTAGATACCAGAATAAAAAGAACAAGCAAAGAGTGTATAGAATATCTGATTTAAAAAAAAAACAAACTGAACAGAAATTAAGTATACAAGTTTGTTAAAGAGTGGTAAAAACTGAATGTTATATATTATGGAATCAGTAAATCAAGTTTTACTTTCATAGATGATAATTCTTATGATTAATTCTGCAACAAAACAAAACCAGCTATGCAGAAACAATAAAGAATGTCCCTTTCTGAACCCCCATTTGATAAGACTGATTTCATATCTAGCTTATTTATAATATTCAGTTTCAGTTCTCCCTGTGAAAATAATAGATGTGGTCATTAATGGTGGTCTGGTAAGGTGAAATTGATTTCTCTTAGGATAGTTCAACATAATAATCCAAATATTAAAAAGCTATGAAAAATTCATGGAGATAAAACAGTACCTAGGGAACATAATTCACCCATGTGCATAATATTTTTATAACATTTTTTAAACATAAAATCACAATCAAAGGTAGTGATAATGTTGTATACTCAGTGCGTTCGTTCATGTAGTGCATTCTTATGACTCATTTGGTGAATGTTATATATTATGGAATCAGTAAATCAAGTTTTACTTTCATAGATGATAATTCTTATGATTAATTCTGCAACAAAACAAAACCAGCTATGCAGAAACAATAAAGAATGTCCCTTTCTGAACCCCCATTTGATAAGACTGATTTCATATCTAGCTTATTTATAATATTCAGTTTCAGTTCTCCCTGTGAAAATAATAGATGTGGTCATTAATGGTGGTCTGGTAAGGTGAAATTGATTTCTCTTAAGATAGTTCAACATAATAATCCAAATATTAAAAAGCTATGAAAAATTCATGGAGATAAAACAGTACCTAGGGAACATAATTCACCCATGTGCATAATATTTTTATAACATTTTTTAAACATAAAATCACAATCAAAGGTAGTGATAATGTTGTATACTCAGTGCGTTCGTTCATGTAGTGCATTCTTATGACTCATTTGGAGTTTCACACCATGTAACCACCACACTTCTAATGAATGGGCTTTAATGTACACAAATTCGTGATTCTTTTAAAAAATCTAAACATCTAAGACCTTGAACTTGACATTTAAAGACTTTGTGTTTTAATATCCCAAACATTGGGAAGAGTAAGTGTGAAACATAGTAACCACCTTTTGTAAGCAAGACTGGGTATACTTTTTGTAAAAACCCTTAAAATAACTCAACACTGAAGATTGAGAGGGACACATTTATTATTTGGCCAAAGGAAATTCAAATGGCTTTCCTGGAGTCAAATGTACCCCAGGACATATACAAGGAATGAGTATAACTGTGGCAGCTAAAGAAACCTGCCGCTGTGTAATAAATGCTCGTATGCAATGATGCTGTGCATTTTGATAATACACTATGATTTGTTTGCTTCCCACCATCAGGGGCACAAGAAAATTAAACTCAAAACTATCTTGTTATAACAGGACATGTGATGACACCAGTTTTAAACAGGGTTCTTCATTGAAGGAAAAGACAAAGCCATGAGTCAAATTAGCTGACTTCCAATGACTTATATCCCCAGATGAATCAGGTGACACTGATTTAAGCCCAAGTTAATTTAGGCAGTTTTTCAACCACAAGAATAAGGTCATTCTTAGTACATATTAATAATTAAACCAACATATACACAATTAGCAATATCCTACATAATATTAAAGGTTTAACAACTTGTTCTCGATTATTTTATATTTAGTTAGTTTGCTGCTTGGTTTTAAAAAAGCTCAACTTTATTTTACAATGTACTTTGCATTTCTAAGTGTGTTCTGTAATTATTTCATTGAAGCAGGTACAGTTCTCTGGATTCTATGAGCCAAACTCAACTGTATCTTCTGTTATCTGTTTAAATTCATAATTGCCTCTGCCATCCATATGCAGGTAGTACTGTGGGAAAGAAGGGGGGAAATCAATAACTAAGAGAATTTCCTTCTTGTCAAGAATTTATGTAGACATAATTATACAAGTAAATGATTAGAAATGATTATTTTAAGCAACTAAACTTAAATTCTTAAAAGTTGATACACAGAAACGCATACAGCTCTCAAGGTAAGACTAAATAAAGAAGTCTATTCTTTTAAAAAATAGCAACAATATAACTCTGCTTGTAATCAAAACACTAGACCTCCTCACTATTTAAAGAAACCAAATCTATAAGCATCCCACAAATTAGAATTTTTCTACAACAAAGGGCCTGAGCTACCATAGGTCAAATTGCAACAAGTGCAAGTCTGTTCAATCCAGCAGCCTTTCATGCTTCCAGAATAATGTTTCCTAGGTCAGCTTGGAACCTCTAAGTAAAGGCTTTATGTTTATTTTTATTTGCCAGAGGAAAAAAAGAGCTATCCCTATATCTCCCATCCAACAAAGACACTCAGGACAATCTATATATAAAGAGCCAGGGTCCGTAACATCCAAAATGACCAAAGGCTCGACTGACTGGAAGTCAGTACTGGGTTGCCATGGCGCACCGACCCAGCACTGACTGCAGAGGGGGCTGTGGATCAGGGCCAGAGAGAGGCCAGGAGAAGCAGGGTCTGATCCACAGCCTCCGTGGCAGCTGTTGATCAGCACTTGCCTCTCTCTTTCTCTTGGGGCCTAGCCAACAGCCGTGCCTCTCTTTCTCTCAGGCCTCTGCTGGGGCTGCTGATCAGCCCCGCCTCTCTGATCAGGCCCATTGATATGCCTGTAGATGCCAACTGGCATAGAAACTGACCAATCAGAACCAAATCTGGGTGAAGTGCCAGGAGCGAATGGCTGCCTAGGAAGCAGAGCTTTTGATGCTGACAGGCATAGAAACCAACCAATCAGAACCAAATCTGGGTGAAGTGCGAGGAGCCAGTGGCTGCCTAGGAGGCGGAGCTTTTGACGCTGACTGGCATAGAAATTGACCAATCAGAACCAAATCTGGGTGAAGTGCCAGGAGCCAACAATGGCTGCCTAGGAGGTAGAGCTTTTGATGCTGACTGACATAGAAACTGACCAATCAGAACCTACTCTGGGTGAACTGCGAGGGCAGAAG